TGAGATGGTGTCCTAATACATGAAAATGGCCGAGATAACCACTAGAAGGGCATTCTGAGCTTTCTATTGGTTATTCACATGTCATATATTGATGTAAGTGTATATAAAAGACCATTTCCAAAAACTGATTCAGTACGAGTGATATCTCAGCAAATAGAAAAGTATGAGGTTCTTATTTTATATTCTAGGTTGTCAATATCGATAATTTAAGTTCCTATATACTTAGTATTTTGACATCACAAGCATTTAATGTGAACCAGTGCTGCATTCAACATCCCACGTGACACACAAAAATTGATGTTTAACTGTGTTTTTTTAATATTTACTTTTAAATTAAGAAATTAAATAATGCATAATACTAAAATTTGAATTATAATCTACAGTTTGATACCAAAGTTATTGACATAAATTCACAAAATAGTAGTTCGATAAAATTATGAATGCGAGTCAAGAAATGCAATGACATAGCCTTTGACCCGTCATCAGTCTGGAGAGGGTTAACATGAGCCAGAATGGAGTCCGTACCAATAAAGTCCCAATAACAAAACATGCCAAAGTTGAAGAAGAAATACGGACAAAAGTGGAAGACAGAATGTGAAGGGTATCGGCACAAAATCCCTCATGATTTCTGTGGAGAGCCTCAGAGAGATGTATAGGAGAAAGATAACGGAGAGTAAGGTGAAGGTGAGAATATTGGGCATGTGTGAGACTAATATTAGATTTGGGAGCCACTCCCAAAGAGGTTATAAGAAACCCAACAACTATTGGGGGGGGGGGGTGGCAGCATACTGATCCCTTCAACTAACTGGAAAAGAAAGTGATCTGCAGGAGAGGGAGGAAATACCAAAAACGGTTGAGAAGAATGCTCTTCAAACAAAGATGGATGAGGGGAATAAAATAGGTGAAGAGACAAAACATCACAAACCTGAGATACAAAATCATGAAAGCCAAGGAAGGTCTAGGTAAATTGTCAAGCTGGAACTGAGAAGGAGAAATAATGTTGAATAATGTCAGCAGACTCTGAAAGAGCTTGGGCGACGTCGGGGGACAAAGGGTGACCCAACCAGTGTTCAAGCTCCAGATGCACAAAATCAGAATGATCCACAGTCAGGGTGCCTGCACCTGAGGCCTCAGATAGAAGATTAGTCATTAGTGTGACCGTTGAAGTGGAAATGTTGACTTCGTAATTCAGAACTCATGAAAACTGCACAAAATGTCTAACGCAGAAAAGCAAGGAAAACAAACAGGAAGATATGTGGTGATGTATAAACAAAAAAAAATAGAGCCACTTAAAATTAAAAATGTGTCGCACAGAAAGAGCAAAGCACAAGAGAAGAATAGCTAATCTTATGAGAAGAGGTAAGTACCATATTGGAATTGTTATTCAAAAGGAGTGGAGGTACCCTAAACAAAGACAGGAGGTCGAAAAAAATTGCTTAATTGTGTCCACCTCAACTTCAGATTCAAAACCTGTGAAGGAAATGGTGTGGCAGAGATGAAATAAGAGGGTCCTGGCGACAACATGGACTTCCACCACATGTTGGATGATGGCTGTCATGATCTCAACAGGCAAAGAAGTTCCCGAATTGTTGGAAATTGAGAGTGACATCTGTTCTCATTTCATCAGGATAAGAATCCATCAGAAATTGTGAATTTATAACAGAAAGTGAAAACACAAAGTTGTTGAAGTATTTTACTTCAACAAGTCTCATCAAAAATAAACATGTCTGTGCACAACTGTACCAAGGAAAATAATAAGGATTTTAACATGTGAATGTAGAGGAAGCACTTGCGCATGGATGTGTGTCACACTCCTATTTGCGGAGGGTTCTGCTGCATGATATGTCATGCAGCAGTGCAAATTCACGTGTTTCACATGAAATTTAGGTGGGAGTTTTCACAAGGCTGTTGGCATGCATGTCTCTCAGGCAGATTAGAATAACTTCAAGAGGAAAAAATTTCTGTCTACGAAGGTGAATGTCTGTATCAGAATTTGCCATCCCTAATGCAGATTGTAGACATCTGTTAACTTCGACTGTGGTCTGCTTTGTGAATGAAAATTGCTTAATTTTTTAACACAGTGTCCAGTCTCTTTTATTCTTCAACCTCACTCAAAGTAATTGAATTCAGATTTATTAGGTGGAATATTCTCTGACAAACCTCCTGCTATTCTGTGTCTGGTTATTCTTAAGGGAAGTAACTGCATTTGAGAATACTACAACCGTATAACAAAAATATCTATGCAGTGGGAATAAATCAGAGGTAAAACTTTGTAATAAACTAATCTAACTGGTGTTTGAAAAAAATAGATTATACAAGTTGAATTCTGCAACAAAACAACCTATTGAAAAGAAAAACAAAAAACAATATGGGCAGAACTAATGAACAACCAATTTATCAAGTCATATTTAACACCTATAACTAGTAGTATTTAACAAACGTATATATACTTGGTTATAAAAAGAAAAAAAATATATAGATAGATATAACTTTACAAGAAACTTATTTCGCTTGTGGGTAAAACAAAAAACTTGAAGAAGAGCTGTATAACGAATTTATTTACCTGGTGTTAAAGGTACTAACAACAAAAAACTTACCTGGTAGTAGAAGGACTAGAGACAGAACTATAGAATGGATCTTGTTCTGCCAACAGTAATGAAGATCTTGGACTGTCTGTATTATAAGGTGGGGGTGGATCATTGTGAACAGAATCCTCTGAGAAAGAAAACAAATACATGTGAAAATTTAATATTTTTTAATCATTTGATGCCAAAATGCAATCTTAGATTAATGGTTTCTTTTCACATAGTTCAGAAATAGATCCTTAGTGTATAATATTTGCAGGGCTGTAAAAAAGGGACTTAGATTTTGTCCTTTGGATGTTTGGAACACATCACTGAATGAGGGTTCAAACCTTCAACAGTACTAATTTGCATGATTTAAAGATAAGATTCCCATAACTACTAGTTTATATTTGACTGAAACCCCTTTTATTTTACAGGTAATTCACATAAATGAAATAAACTAAGAACAATATATAGAACAGTAGTCATGCTTTTATATTAAGAAAAATACTCATTTATATACAATAAACCTTCCTACAACACGGATTTGCTTATATGCACAAAAATAAAAGCAACTGATTATCTGCCAAACATGAAAAATTCGATTATGTGCAGTTTGCCCAAAATGCAAACATATGAGTGCTCTAGACCATTATCTCTCTCAACACAGTTAAAATTATGTCTTTCACATACAAAAAAAATCATATTTTTTAATGAAGTATTTTTAATAAACTAAAATTTGTACATGAATATACTGAATATTTATTTTGAATAGTCCATGTGCAAAGTAACTTTCATGTTAAGATTAAAAATACCTTTCTTCATCTCAAAAATCTCCAATTTCCTTTGTGTAATCCTTAAAACCTCCTAAATAGATTTCAAAAGTTTTTTGAGTAAAACTTCATATTTCATCTGTTATTTTCTCTACTTTATCTCTATATGGGAACGACCTCGTAATCACCAAAAAAAAAGAGGGAAATAAATCTAAATTACCCTTTTTTTCTTTCTAGAATGACTTCAAATTGTAACATGAAACTACATTTGTTTACCCTATGTAGCTTTAAGCTCATAACAGTATACATTACATCTATTCATAATTCATTAAAGTCGACAGATTAATAACATGCAAATTAGACAATTTCCCCTGACTCTCAAAATTTTTATGACTTTCTAACTATGCAATAAGAGCTGTTACAAATTCATCCAAGCTAGTTGTTAACATTCCCACGGCAATAAACCATGTATTATAAGTGAACACAATGTAATATAATACCTCATTTGATAGATAATAACACTGACATTCTATTGGGTATAGATGATATACAATTAAATGTAAGAGAGAACTATTAAGAAATCCTAAACGACATGGATGTGACAGGAGGAGGTCTGATTTTATATTTGATAGCTCTGTAACCAGACAAAATTGAAGACTATAAAAATTATGGTTTGTCTGAGCAATGACAATTTTATAGTGTGTAATTTACGTTTCATTTCATCATTACTTGGGGTGGTGGATAAAATACAGAAGAGAAAATACCTAGAGAAAATGTGTCATGAGTGTAACACTAGGGAAAATTCAGGATTTTTTTTAAATATTGCCTTATAAAATTAAGAACTTAAAACTTATATACCATTAAACCATGGATTATTAGCTAAGATTTTATGCTAGACTAATTGGTTTAACATAAACAAAAAGTAGTTTAATAAATATTTTATGTGTAAGACACAAAAACCATGTGATATGTGCAGTAAAGGATAACCGTAAGGATAGCAATAAACGATCTCCAGCTTCCTAAGCCTCACTCCATCCCCACCATGTATCTAGGTGATCGAGGTAATTTCAGTGTCGTGTAGTAAATTAATTTTTGCTATTTTTTGATGCTTTTCATAATTAACCTTAGATAGCAGTATCGAATCCAAACGTAAAGCATCTCCAAGTGTTAGTGAGGCAAAGAAAATCTGCAAAGTTAAGGCATTAGCTGAGAAAATTCAGATCCTAGATAAGTTACAAAGCAGGATGAGTGAGACATCCATAGGCTGGGAATATGTCATGAATGAGTCTTCCATATTTACAATTAGGAGGAGTGAAGAAAAAATCTGTGTAAGTGTTAAGGCTTCTGTCCCTATAAGTGCTAAAGTTTCTCACATCAATTTTGATTGGGCATCCATAACTTGCTTTGCACATACATTGTAGCTTGCGGTAAATGATGGACTTAATTCAATTTCCAACTTAAAACAAGTGACTGGACCATGCAGGAAGTTGGTTTCAAATTTCACAACAGTATTATTGTTACAAAAGCTCTCTGAATCAAGCAACAACAAATGGGCCTTCTGCAACACAAGACCATCCAACAGTGCAAAACAATGTGGAACTCTGGTTTTCAAGCCTGGTAGAACAGTGGTAAGCAATAAGTGCTGTTTTATCAGACTTCACTATTATTAAACTAAATGATGCCCATGTTTTGGAGATACAGGATGAATACTGGTGAATTCTGAAAGAAATCAATCCTGTTTTGAAGTCTCTACAGATAGTCACAACAACAACTTGCAGCAATTACAGCATCAGCAGTATACTCTTCTCATGAGCCTCATTGATGTCCATTTGCAACTGTCTAATAAAAGCACAAACACAGTGAAATAATTTTTAGCTGCCATGTGCCAGTCACTTGAAGAGCAGCTCCATCCTAATAAAAAGAATTAAACTGTTACTCATCCTGCTCTCACCAGTACTGCTTTAAACCTGAGACACAAACGTTTTAGATTTTTAAATGATAAAGTGTGTTTTGTAGTTAATTACTGTTTGGTAGAGCTCTCTTGGAAACAAAAGATGAACTCATCACTAATGGTGAGTCTGTTTACTTACTCCAATGCCAGAACTGGGTTTATGTAATACAAAAATCAAAGAGAGCCAAAAGAGATCTTGAAAATGGATCAGATGACAGTGGAAGTAATGCTGTGTTTTTTTGGAAGGTGGGGACTAGATACCAAGATGATGATGAACACCTAAGTGAAACTGGAAGCTACTACCAGCAATCTACCATTCACTGATTCTGATCCACTAAAGTGTTGTAAAATGCAGAAAGATTCTTATCTGGTATTGGGAAAATTTGTGTGAGGATTTCTTTGCATCCTTTCTACTTCAGTTTCATCAGAGCAGATATGATGTACTGCTATTTAGAAAAACTATACACAGACAATTTGAATATGCTGATATTTCTGAACAAAAACCTGTAATCTACCCAGTTAAGGTTTATAAATATATATATATATATATATATATATATATATA